TGGAGGCATCTTTTGGTCATGTAGGGCTTTCTGGGTACCATCTTGACGTCTTGCATGCGTCTCGGGACCGTCTTGGAATCCCATAGAGCATTATCGTGGCCATGTTGGAGGCGTTTTTTCAGCGGTTCTCCGACTTTCATGGTACATGCTGGGTGGCTGGCGGGTTGATCCGCAGCCCACGGGGCACCTCTTGGACGGGTCCAAGCAGTCAAACATTCGGCACGCCAACAACCCTGCTTGCAAGCAACAGGGGGCAGCGGATCTAGTGGCCTTCGGTCCATCTCGCCACCATGCCTGGGTCTTTGGCAGACAAGGCCTCTTCGTGGCTTCTTTCAGTCTCTTTCGAAGCCTTTCGGGAGCATCTTGAAGGCATGGTTTTGCCCCCGGGGTGGGCTCTTTGTGGTCCCTTGGGGCGTCTTAGGGGCGTTTTGGGTGCCACATGGAGCCTCTTGCGGGCCCCTCGGGGGCCCGCTGGCGATCTCGGGGGCTTTGAGGGACAGGCTTCAAATGTCAGTCCGGGTTCCCCCTCCTCTCGGGGCCCTCTTGGGCCCTCTTGGGCGCCTGCTGGGCCGTCTTGGGGTCCTTTTAGGCCTTCTCTTGATGTTCCCTAGGGGGCCTCTTAGGCTGTTCTGGGCGATCCCAGGGGCCTCTTTGGTCGTCCTGGAGTGTGGAGAGTTCGGAAGGGCGATACTGCCAAACACAGTCAAACACCTCAAGGGCCAATGATCTTCGCCTCTGAGGCCCCCTCTTGTGCGTCCTCCTGTTGCTCTCTTGGGGCGGTTCGGCAGCCTCGACAACCGTGTGGAGGGCATCTTGAGCGTCTTGGGGCGCGCTTTTGGGCCGACTCGGGACCCTCTTCGACCGTCCTTGGGCCCTCTTTGGACCCTCTTTGCCCGTCTTGGCGCTCTCTGGCCACTGGAACAAGCACGCGGAGCCCCAAGAGTCCTGCGGGGAGCCTCGGGCAATTCGTCCCTTGGGCTTCTGTGCTCCTGAAACAGTATCATAATACGCAGTGTCAAAGGGTCGAAGGGAACTGAGGACGCTTCGCTCAGTGTGTCGCGGCACTGTGACTGGTCTTTAACCGAATAAGTATTTCTTGCCCTCCCCCTGGCAGCAGGTCGGGTGGGAGGGATTCGATAGCATCAGTATGCGGATGAACATGCCGCCAACGTCAGCGTCAGCGTCAAGAGAAGGAGCATGCAGAGGAGGGGGATGAGTTACTCGTCGTCGTCGTCGTCGTTGTCTTCCTCCTCATCCTCACACTGATGATGATGCTGATGATGAGGATGATGATGAGGATGGTGCCGCTGAGGATGACCATCATCATCACACTCACCATCATCATCATCATCATCATCATCATCATTATCATCATCATTACCACGATCACCATAACCCACCACCTCCATCATCATCATCATCATCATCATCACCATCATCACCATCAGCACCGCCACAATCATCATCAACATCATCATCACCGTCATCATACTCATCATCACCATCTGCATCATCATCAACATCGTCATCATCATCTTCATCTTCATCTTCATCTTCATCTTCATCTCCATAGTCGTCTTCATCTTCATTGGTATTCGCATTTTTCACAATACCCATCATAGTATGGGTCAGCATACGCACCATCATCATTCTCATCGTCATCACCATAACCGTCCTCATCATCATCACCACCATCACCATCATGGCCACCACCAGCATCATCATCAGCATCATCACCATCATCATCACCATCATCTCCATCATAACCACCATCATCATAATGCTCGTCGTCGTCAACATGATAACCATCAACACCATCACCCATCATCGTCACCATCACATCAGACATCGCAGCATCATCGTTACTTTCATATCACCGCTATCACCACCATCGTCGTTTCGTAATCTTCATCATCACCATCATTACCACCATCACCATCATCATCTTCATCACCAACATCACCATCACCATCACCATCATAACCATCAACATTACCATCATCACCATCATTATCATCACCATCACCATCACTATCATCAGCATCATTATCATCATCATGATCATCATCATCATCATCATCATCATCATCATCATCATCATCATTGGCACCATCACATTCGCCACCATCACCATCACCATAACCATCACCATCACCATCACCTTCACCATCGCCTTCACCATCACCATCACCGTCATCAACTTCTTCACCATCATCACCTCCTAGGAGCTTCTCCACCTGCCCCCGCCGCTCGCCGCCGCAGTCGTTGTCGTCGTCGCCACCCCTCTGTCGCAAGAGGACCTGCGGCTGGAGTCCGCCAAGCCCTCCCCCGCGGAGGAGAGGTACTTCGAGAAGGAGCTCATGTGCGCTGGCGCCAAGGCCGCGGAGAGGGGAGGAGGGGAGGAGGGGAGGAGGGAGGAGAAGGAGGAGAAGGAGGAGGAGGAGGAGGAGGAGGACCAGCGTAAACCCAAGACTCACCAACGATATTTCAATACCCCCTCCCTCCAAGTTCCCTCTTGACAGGCCCCTGCAGTTATTAATTTTCAGTTAGGGAAGTGCCCTGTTGGAAGACACCTAGTTGTAAATCCTGAGCTGTGTTAGAACACCATTCATGGGACATCAACGCCACGAATCACCGTTACCGTTGCGTCTTGACGGTCTTGAATCGTGCCAGGACGCCATTTATGGGACTTCAGCACCGGGAGCCAACGTAACTGTTTCGCCCTGACAGTCCAACATCGTGGCAAAACACCGTTTCGGGGACCTTACCCATGAGAGTATTTGAACATGCTGTAAACTCTTGAAACGAATGTGCGCGCGCTAAGACGAAAGCCACATTTTGAAAAGGGCCCTCTCTCCATCCATGAAGCTTCTGCAATTCTGTTGTAAAGTCCCATGAGCGCGGCGCTGAGGCGAGAGATACTTTTTGAAGACGGCCAGCCCTCCATCTGTGAAGCTGTTGCGGCTTTGAACGGCGAGTGTGCGCGGCGCTAAGGCGAGAGACACATGTTGAATAAGGTCAGCCTTTCATCCGCGAAGCCTTTGCGATTTGTTAAGACGAATGAGCGTGGTGCTGAGGCGAGGGGCACTTGTCGCAAACGGCCAGCCCTCCGTCCGTGAAGATCTTGCGGTTTTTAACGACGAGTGCCCGCGGCGCTAAGGCGAGAGACATGTGTTGGAAACGGCCAGCCCTCCATCTGTGAAGCCTTGCGATTTGTTAAGACTAATGAGCGCGGCGCTGAGGCGATTGACGCATTTTGGAAATGGCCAGCCCGCCATCCGTGAAGATCGTGGAATTTTGAAGACGAGCGTGTGCAGCGCTGAGACGAGAGACGCATTTTGAAAACGGCCCGCCCTTCATCCGTAAAAGTCTTGCAGCATTGCAGCTTAAGGGTCATGTTTTGTAAGGAAGTCTCAGGCGAAACGCCTGTCCTGCCCTACCAATACGCAGCGGGGTGCGACAAAACGGATTTTTACTTAACAGCGAAGACTGATAGGTTTCTAGTGGGATCAAAAGAGAGCAGCAGATCACTCCACAGGGGGGTCCGGGCAGGTGTTGGGAGTTGCCGGGCGGCAGGTGCCGGGCTCGTTTTTCACCAACAGTCACACACTTCGTGCTCTTCGACTTCCCAGAACTCCATTCCCAGGCCACATTCTCAATACCCGGATGCAACAGTCACACACTTCGTGCTCTTCGAGATCCCAGAACTCCATTCCCGGGCCACATTCTGGAGGGCCGGATGCAACAGTCACACACTTCGTGCTCTTCGAGTTCCCAGAAATCCATTCCCGCCACATTCATGGAAGGTGCCGGTATGCAACAGTCACACCCTTCGTGCTCTTCGACTTCCCAGAAGAACTCCGTCCCCGGGCCACATTTTTGGATGCCTGGTGCCAACTGTAGGCCACACATCGTGCTCTTCGAGTTCCCAGAATTCCATTCCCGGGCCACATTTTGGATGCCCGGAGCCAACTGTAGGCCACTTCCTGGTCTTCGAGTTCCCAGAACTCTATTCCCGGGCCACATTTTGAATAGCCGGAGCCAACTGTAGGCCACTTCGTGCTCTTCGAGTTCCCAGAACTCCATTCCCGGGCCACATTTTGAATGCCCGTAGCCAACTGCAGGCAACTTCGTGCTCTTCGACTTCCCAGAACTCCCAGTCCTGGGCCACATTTTCAGCAGGGGCAAGAGCACGACGAGGAGGAGGACGAGCAAGACCAGGAGGACGAGGACGAGCAGGAGCAGGACGAGGAGCAGGAGGAGCAGGAGAAGAAGGACGA